TCCTAATGTATTGATCTCCATTGTATATAACTATCAATATATTTTAAACTTACCTTGTGCTTTAAGTACTGTAATGAACAGCGGTATTAGAATCAAACCGAGCATCTTTCGGTCCTCAGATCAGAGCCAGAGCGGATGATCAACCTGTAAGACATTTCCAGTTAAAACAATATTACAAAACAGCATCACAGGCAGAGGAAGGAAGGGGCTTGTGGTGGGCTCAGATTTTCTCAGGTGACTGAGAGAAACATTGGGGCAGGATGGCGAGGGGGAGACAGAAGCTTTTGTGGTGGGCTTTTGGGTTTCAGACATGAAGGAAGATGCACATGAGTGAAGAAACATGAAAGAACGGCAGCGAGAAATAGGCGGCGAGAGGTGTGTGTGTGCGGTGGGCTGAGATTGTTCAGGCAGTAGATTCGCATCCCTCTGGTTTTCAGCTCTCCTCCTCCTCCTCTTCCTCCTGAACACCCCCTCTCTTCCTCCCCTGTTCCACGAAAGGCGGATCTCCACGCTTAAAGAGAGAGAGAAATGCGCTGCTGGCGGTGGTGCTGAGACGGGAGTGCGGTTGTGTGTTAAATTCTTATATCTGATCTTAACTTTTTTTTTTCATTGTGTGTGCATGAGATTCACATAAATCACACAATTCCGTCTGAAGAGATTGACAATTCAAACTAGAAAAAAATGCAGACATCTAATTGATTTGGTGCAGTGTTTTAAATTATTTACTGTTAAAGTCATTATTTGGTCTCTTGCGAAATTTTGATTCTTTTAAAAATGTTTTCCAAGTGCAGTTTGATGGAGATTTTTGTAAACATAATAGTTTTACTAACAAATTTCCAATAACTTAACTTCTATGTCTTAACTTCTATGTCGACAGTAAATAATATTTTTTCTAGTAGGTTTGCAAGATCATTTAGTTTACAGTGCAATTTAAAGGCTTTAAATGGATAATGATGCACGTTCTGCTAATTGGTTAAGTTATTGGCTGTTGGTAGTTTGTTCTATAGTCAATCGAAAATAATAATTTCTTAGGGGGCTAATAATATTGACATTAAAATTTGTTTTAAAAAAATTTAAACTGTATTTCAGCCGAACCAATTAAGTTGGATTAGGGCTATGTATTTTCTTTAACGCTGTGAATTTATATTATATTATATTATATTACATTATACTATATTAAATAATATTATATTATATTATATTATATTATATTATATTATATTATTTTATAATATATTATATTATATTATTTTATATTATATTATATTATATTATATTATATTATATTATATTATATTATATTATATTATATTATATTATATTATATTATATTATGCTATAACAAACTACATTATATTATTAATTTTCTTTTCAACTCCCTTTATTAATCCGGGGTGCTACTGTGGAATGAACCGTCATCTTATCCAGCACATGTTTTACGTGTTAATGGGTTTGTTTTAACCCATTTCTGGGAAACATCCATACACACTTATTCACACTCATACACAGCGGACAATTTAGCCTATACAATTCACCCGTACCGCATGTCTTTGGACCATGCAAACGCAAAGAGAACATGCAAACTCCACACAGAAACGCCAAGTGACCCAGTCCAGGCTCGAACCAGTGACCTTCTTGCTGTGAAGCGACAGCACTACCTACTGCACCACTGCGTTGCCTATATTATATTATATTATATTATATTATATTATATTATATTATATTATATTATATTATATTATATTATATTATATTATATTATATTACATGGAATTTATTTCTCCAATCCAGTTATCTCATTTAATTGCAATTAGTTCAAATAGTCATGATCAGAATTAGCCAACGGTTCCAGCAGTTCAACTTTTCTCACATATTTAGATTCCTAAACTACCTACGCCAATGTCATGCCGTATAATTTGAATGTATAAAGTGATCATATTTTGTATACTTTACTTTTTAAATACTTTATTTAAATACTTTTGCATACTTGATAAGCAAAATTAAGTGTAATTGAAAAAGTACTCAAATGCACTAAATGTTTGAATGTAAATTATGACTATGAATGCATGCATAAATGCAGAAGTGCATGAATTCACATTTAAGATTATGTTTAAAATTTATATATTCAACTTTGTTGTAATTAAAAAATAAGAATAATAATTATTATTATTTTTTAATTATTTATTTTATTTGTGGATTGAAAGGGCATCTGCTGTGTAAATCATATGCCAGAGTAGTTGACGGTTCTTTCCGCTGTGGTGACCCCTGAGAAATCAGGGACTAAGCAGGGTAGGAAATGTATTTTATTTGTATTCATATATTTATATATATATATATATATATATATATATATATATATATATATATATGAATACAAATAAAATACATTTCCCACCATATATATATCATATATATATATATATACATATATATATATAGTCAACCAACAAAAATTGACTATTGAGATTTTTCCAAAATTCATAGTATGAAGTTTTGAATTTAAAACTTTTATTTAAAATAATAATAATAATAATAAATTATTAGCAACGTCTTGATAAAGAAGGTAATACTTTCATCTTCCCGGTAAGTAAATATAAAATACGCTTTTAAGAGGAAACTTAAGAGTCCTTTTGGATAGTCAAAAAAACATTTCAGTTATAAAAGAACAATTTGTTCATAGTTTAATGTATTGTAATGTGTGTGTATCTCTATAGTGCATTTATGGTGTATGGCTATCCACCCAAAGGGCTTTACAATCAGGGGGGTCTCTGCACACCACCACCAGTGTGCAGCATCCACTTGGATGATGCGACGGCAGCCACTGGACAACAGTGCCAGTGCGCTCACTACACACCAGCTATTGGTCAAGTAAAAAGACAGTGATACAACCAATTGGGTGGATGGGGTTTAAAAATGACATTTCCACTTTTTCAACTTTAAAGAAACTTTTTTTGTGCGTGTGAAATATTTTATGGATGTTAAATGTTGGTTTTTTAATAAAAACCAAAAAAATATCTTTATTTCTAAAGTGTGATAAATCTTCTGCACTCTAATTTGCAGAAACACAGTTGACTTTCCGTTCACAACTTTTAATATATATTTTTTTATTATTAAAAGTATTAAAAATCCCCAAAATACTGTCCCAAATAATGTAGAATCATCCAGATGAAATTTTAAATTTAGTCTACACAAATACTACATATTTACATTGGCCTATGATTTCTGTTAATAAATGATTAGATCAAATTTAAAGTGATGAAATTTAGTCTTAGATAAATGCAAGGGGAAAAAAAAGAAAAGAAAAACAGCATCACCCAATGATCGCTGGTTGTATCCCGGGAACGCATAAGCCGCTTTGGATAAAAAACTTCTGCTAAATAAATAAAAGTACATGTGATTAGTTGAGACATAAAATACATGAACTGCTCTGATCTTCCTCGATTGAGCTGCCATTTGTTACAAAACTGCTTAATGGAGAAATCAGTAATCTGACGAATGTTTTAAGTCTCCCCGAGAGTCTGTAAGAAATGAGGGAAAAGGCTGTGAAGGCAGAGAAACAGAAAGAGAGAAAAGAGAAGCAGATGAAGAAGCACACATAAGAGATGGAGAGATAAAGACGGAGAGATGCACCTGAACAGCTAACCCAGAAAGACAGATGATCAGGGCTGTGGTCAGGATGGAGGTTAAACAGCAAACAGACACACAGACACAAGAGAGGAGGGGAACAGCAGTGAGACCAACAATGAGTATATTGAAATCAAAAAAGTTACTGCTAAATATTGAATCTTAGCGACAGAGATAAATAGATGAAATTCAGATTATATTAACTTATAGTTAGTAAAGCAACCGGAAATATAAACAAACTTTTAAGGCAATTCTTCAGTTTTTTTCATAGTTTTTCCTCAGGGTTGCATGTAACAGTAGAATACACATAAATTTTACATTGCGCACTTAATGTTACACATTGTGTACTAGAGAGATTAAAACTTTAATCTGAACCAACACATTCTTTCAAATGAACCAAACAGAAAAATTCAGACTTCATAGTTTTACATAACATAATGTAACTTAAAACGGTTAAAAAAAAACAACACCAGTACAATCGTTTCATGAGAAGTAAATCTGTGTAAATATACTCACGTTACGTATCGCTTGTCTTCAGAGTCGTGTCAGCGGATGTGTTCACTTACAGGCCAAAATATTTCTATTTAACCTTCGCTGACGCCTCCCCTCCGTCTGATTGGCCTGAGAGGTAAAAGAGCACGTCCGGTTATTAAAATGAAGCTGCTGAATTCGATGCAATATGCATTTCTGAAAGGCTTTTTTCCATAGAAAATATGACTTGTCGCTTGTTACTGATTATGACAATAACTTATGTGACCATCTTGTTTTCCCCTTAATAGGCAATAAATAAATTAAATACAATTGTTGCTTTTTTGGGGCAAATATTTTCAATGATAACCAGAACAATTCTGAGAATGCTGTGTATGACCCAAAAAGTAGGTTCTACGTTTTCGTTTGTTTGTGTGTTCGCTTTTTCATCAGTTTTACATTTATAAAAATTGGATTTTAATCATATGTAAAACAAAAATTAAATACATATTTGAGGCGGTTCGTTCTGCTGTGGCGACCCCTGTTTAATAAAGGGACTAAGCCGAAAAGAAAATGAATGAATATATATTTGATTATCGTTTAGGGCACAAAATGTTCTCTGAAACCACATTCATCCTCCAATATTTTTAACAGCTAGTTTAGCTTTACATTTAGTTTGTATATTACCATTTTAGAGATTTGTTTGTTTACCATATTGTTAAATTCATCATGTCCATTTATACAAATGCAGTATATATTAGTCACCATGAATACTGTAATAATATTAAGCTATTAAACTTATTTTTTTTAATCTACTTCAAAGAAAAACCCTCTTTTAGCTGCGAATGCAAAACTTTAAGCAGAAGATCAATGTACTGGTGCATTACAGAAGCCAAAAGGCAAACCGAACTGAAGAACTCAAAGTTAATTTACAAAAAAACAACTCTAAAAACATGCTATATAACACACACACACACACATTGCGAAAGACTCATTTTTAAGATTGCGAATGTTAATTTAGACGTGAATTGCCTCTTGTCCTTCTAAGTTATCTGTAACGCAAATCTGCCATAATGATTAGAAGCAGAGTATACGAATGTGCACTTACTGTATGTGGTGTTTGATTAGGTGGGTTTAAAATGTAAGTTAAAAATTGAGAAGCTGCAAAGAGAAGTATTGCGGTGAAAAGTGCTGACTTAACTCAAAACTGTTAAAGATATTTTTTTATTGCTTACGTTTATAGAATATAGTTCTCTTTTGCTAAACATTTTCTTGGTGACTATTGTGTTTCATTTCAGCATTGCAGTTTGTTCTTCTAAAAACTGCAGTGGTTTTTAATAATTTTTTCAGCAGAAGTGATGTTATAGAGGTTTCAGGCATTAAAATCAAATAGCTGGTCATTTTCACAGTTACAGCAAATTTAATTACATCAAAAGTTTTGAAGTAGAAAGTTTATATCTAAAATATCTAAAAGTTCTTAAATCAAGAAGCATTTTCTAAACAAGCAAAACATATTGTCTTGTTTTAAGAAATTATATGCCAAAATGAAGTGAGTTCTTCCTTAAAACAAGCTAAATAAAAAACAAGATTATTTTGCTTACTCCATTGGCAGATTATTTAGCTTGTTTTAAGGAAAAACTCACTTAATCAGCACCCGACTCTCTCAGTGCATCAGGATGAAGTCTGTGCCTTTCATTTAAATTCTTCATGTCATCATTTGTTCAGTTTTCATCTCTTTCCTTTATAGTTTGTCAATTTTTATATATTCCTTTCAATAATTTCTTTATATTAATATTAGCATTATACATTTTCATTTGTGTCGAGTGCCTTTATATGGCATTAGCGTATATGTGTGGAATGGTACAGCATATAACAATAAAAATGCGTACATTATTGAAAAATACATGAAAGTGTATATATATATATATCTCCCAACTTGTTAAGTGTGAACTCTTTGATTCAATCATGTAATGTGCACTTCTGTTAAATTTAATTAAAGGAAAATATGAAATTGTAAATGCATTCAGACATATTATCGAAAAAGAAAAAGTGATATGAAAAGGGTAAACTAAAAACTGTTTCTTGTACCATTAAAATGAATTAACACAACTCAGCTCCTTATAACTGAACAAACTTCATACATGTCGCATATTAAACAATTTATTAATTTTGCAAGAAAACACTATTTCAATCTTTCTACTTCAAAACTTTTGATGTAATTCAATTTGCTGTAACTGTGAAAATGACCAGCTATTTGATTTTAATGCTTGAAACCTCTATAACATCACTTCTGCTGAAAAAATTATTAAAAACCACTGCAGTTTTTAGAAGAACAAACTACAATGCTGAAATGAAACACAATAGTCACCAAGAAATGTTTAGCAAAAGAGAACTATATTCTATAAACGTAAGCAATAAAAAATATCTTTAACAGTTTTGAGTTAAGTCAGCACTTTTTACCGCAATACTTCTCTTTACAGCTTCTCAATTTTTAACTTACATTTTAAACCCACCTAATCAAACACCACATACAGTAAGTGCACATTCGTATACTCTGCTTCTAATCATTATGGCAGATTTGCGTTACAGATAACTTAGAAGGACAAGAGGCAATTCAAGTCTAAATAAACATTCGCAATCTTAAAAATGAGACTCTCCAGTCAATCTTTCGCAGTGTGTGTGTGTGTGTGTGTGTGTGTGTGTGTGTGTGTGTGTGTGTGTGTGTGTGTGTGTGTGTGTTTTTATAGCATGTTTTTAGAGTTGTTTCTTTGTAAATTAACTTTATGAGTTCTTTAGTTTGGTTTGCCTTTTGGCTTCTGTAATGCACCAGTACATTGATTTTCTGCTTAAAGTTTTGCTTTACACTTACAAAAAAAAAAAAAAAACAGGTCTTAGATCCTTTCACATTTTCAGGTCTTAGATATTTTCATATTTTATATTTTATTTTCACATAAGAACCTTATATATGGTTATTCTTAATATAATCTTTGACTTTATTTCTAAGTGTCATTATTAATGTTACTACAGAATAATATCAACTGGTTGTGTTTGGAAAGCAGGTTAGGTTTAGGGTTATTTGCATATAGTTAGGTATAATTAATTGTAATTACTATATAGTCAGTAGAAGAAACAGGTGTATGGAGTACACTTTAAAATAAAGTGTTATATATTTTTTCCACAGGTAGAAGAAGTTAATCCAATAATATGAACATTTTTCCACTTTAAATATGTTTCTGCATAAAGGAATAATCTATGGTTGTTAAATGTTCTTCATAAAACCATCTAAACTCTTTTTAAAAATAAAGGATCTTCACTGGCATTACTGGTTCCACGACGAACAGTTAACATCCATAAAACCTTTCAATTCCACAAAAGTTTCTTTATAGTGGGATGTTCTTTAGGTTATTAAAATCCTCTTCACACTAACAAATGCTCTCTTGAGAACTCTTTATTGAAAAGCACTTTAGGGAACCCAAAACAGTTCTTCTAAGGTGATTGCCAGTAAAGAATCAGGATAAAAAAAAGGTTCTTTTTGTAACTTCATCAGACACATAAAACTTATAAAGTGTTAACAAATGAAGCATCCTGCTGTAGAAGAATGAGTTAGAGAGATAGAGTGACACGCTCTCTGTAAAAAATAAGATGAAAACAAATGTTTTTATGTTATTTTAAATTGTTTAAGTTATACAAAGTTTAAATTAATATTTCAGTCATTTGACTAGAAAAGTTCATTTGATTCAACTAAAAAAATTTAGGCAGCAAGATTTTTTTTTCAGTGTTTTAGCGCTGTAAGACAGGAGTGGTTTGCTTAGGGGAACCACATGAAGGTTGAAGCAAACATGTTGCCTGCCTCACATCTGTGTCTGAGGTTTCACCTCTCTGTCATTCTCTCTCTTCCTGCCGAGCTCTGTTCATCTTCTTCAAAAAAGTACATTTAGCTTAATACAGTTCTTCATAGCATTTATCTAGCTATCGATTCTCTTATTTTCTCCATGAGCTGAAAGGAAAGACCCATTTTAGAGGGATCCCTCATTACTCAGACAACCTGAAAAGGTCTCGAGACACCAACATAATCACTACCGAAAGAGTGAAAGAAAGCAAGCAAGAAAAGTGGGCGATTTATTTCAATATGTCCCATACAGGTTTTCGCTACGTGTTTCCCCTTCAGCAAGTCATTTCTGTGTGTACATGCCTGAAGAACGCAACATTGATATTGTCTTCATCTCCCACACATCTTGTAACTGAAGATCTTTTGCCGCAAATACCTGGTGCTTTTCTTTATCTACAGTCATCTGCATGGTCATCTGCTAACCTTAGCATGAATTGTGCTTAAGAGGTTCGCCATGGCTGAATGAGTAAAAGGAGATCCCTCTAACCGATCTGAATCCTCAGAAAGTTTCAGTGATTCTCAAACTGTGGCCTGTAGGAAATCTTGAAGACTGAGGTGCACACAGAACGCCGAAGACTTAAGATGGACGCCATTACAGGCTACACATTCTGCTCTTCTAGAGTAAGGCTAAGAGTTTCAAAGTGAGTGGAAATTACACAGAAAGACGTATTGCATTTGTTTCTTTCATTCTTAAGTTTGCAGGTACAAACCTCCTCCATTTAATGAGGTCCTGTAGGTTTGAAATGCAAGCATGACTAAATGTCAGTGGAAAGAGCTTTCGAGAGAACCAAAAGATTGCTGACATTTGGTCTGGTGCTTACGAAAATGTGTATTTTTAGAATAATGTACAGGAGATTAGATCATATTTTAGACTGTAAATTTTGAAACCTCACCGTATGGATGATTATCCTGTTCCATTACGTTACTGTGTTTACGTCTTTTTTTTTTCTTGTGTGCTATGTATTTCTAGTCCTTCCTTTTAATGTATTTTCACAGAAATGCTTAAAAACATATTCATACTCATTTTCAGGAATCCGTGATCTGCTGCGTCATTTCTTACAGGGCTGGAGTGGGACTCCTTTTCAGCCCTGGAGTTTCAAGCCTAAGACCAGCCCACCTCAGTTCACGACTGACTTTATTAAAATAACGTCATTTCCAATTCAGTTTCTAATGACACTATCACGTCTTTAAGGAAACAGCTGCTTTAGAACTTCAAATGTTTTTCATAAATATGAGAACATTAAACTGTAGCTAAATCTCCAAC